AGGAATGGCGACCCCTTCTGGGAACCTCGCCTGCTCCAGGGAGGGAGGAAGAGCTGGGAATGGGGTCCGTCTCAAAGCTGAAACATCAGGGTTTCAATTAGTGGTTCTCAACCAGGGCATGGGTTTGGCAATATCTGGAGACATTTGGGGTTGTCACATCTGAGGGGAGGGATACTGCTACCCGGCATCTGGTGGACAGGGCCAGGGATGCTACTAAACATCTTAAAATGCACAGGACGCCCCCATGATGATTGATCCGCCCAGATGTTAACAGTGCCACAGCTGACAAGGTAGCTCTCACACATACCTACAAGAATACATGAATGTACAAACAGAACAACAAAGAAGGTGCCAGAGGGAAGATTTCTGTTCTCTCCACAGATGAGATCCCCTCTGAGGTCCTGGCTCTCAGTCATGGCTCAGGACTGCCCCTGCGTGAATTCCCCCCCGACACTGTGCGATCAGTCCCGAGCGAGATTCAAGGAGGAAAACTGAGACCCAAGGCTCGGCGGCAAGCTTGTGCCCCGGATGGACAAGAAGACCCATGAGGTGGCCTGCAGGGGGCACCTCAGGGTGAGCACAACGACGACCCCTTGGCCAGCCCACGCAACGCTGGGAGGAGACAGTCAGCTGCCAGGCTGCCTGGAAACACGGACGACCTGCACACCTTGTCCAGCTGAGGAATAAGGGACAGTCCTGGCACGTGGCAGGTCCCCCTACATTGTCCCCTCTCTGGGACAACGTCTCCAGCAGGATGTAACAGCTTTGGGGACCAACGGGCTGGCATCCTCAATTTCCATTTCATTCCTCTCACCATCATCACACATCTATAAAACATTCAAAAACCTAATCAATCAAACAAAGACAACACCGTGGACCTCCCAGCCCTCTCCAGCTGCCAGGCATCTCTGCCCCCCTCTGCTCCGTTCCACCCTCCAGCTCCTGCGGCTGCACAGTCATCTCTACTCGGGAGCAGGCTTTCTCCCCAGTCTTAGTCGTCCACCTGGCTAGAGCGCTAATGGCCAGGGGCAAGGCCCCCGAAGGCAGGTGCCTCTCGCCACCCCTCACACACTGCCTGGCCCCATGGAGGACAACACAACAGCCGCTGTGATTCCCAAGTGCTGTGCCTGCTGTTATCTCCGGAGTCTACCAGCAGTCCAGGAGGTAGGAGGAACAAGTGCTTTTATACCCATTTCACGGATGAGGAAACGGGGGCTCAGACAGATGGAGACTTTCCTGGGGGAGCAGAGCCCAGGTCTTTCAGCTCTATGGGCCACAATTTGGGAGGAGACCCCAAGTCACCACCTGGGTGTTTCCTTTAGGGACTGGGGTGGTGATGCCCAGCAGGACAGTCTCCTTCCTGACTGTGAAACCCTTTCTCTGGTCGGAGGACTCTGAGAGCCCAGCAGCAGCTGTCTGAGGCTGAGAGGTGAGGTGCTAAGAAACCAGATATTCTCCGATCCTCAGCACAGTTACGCTTAACCCACGAGCACCTTGTGGTTCGTGGTTCCCACTCACTGGCTGTGTGACCTTGGCAAGCCATGGACCCTCTCTGAGCTACAGTTTCACCACCCACAAAACGGGAAGAGCAATTTTATTTCATAGGGTTATTATGACGATCAAGTCCAACATCAACTCGCATGGGGTTTTGACTGTGGCCACTGTGGGGGTGGGCAGCAGTCATAACCCTCGAGGAGGCAGCACAGCCGTCGGGGACCTGAGTGCGAGCTCCCATCCTCACACTCACTGGCTGTGTGACCCCGGGAAGGTCCTCCCTGCCTCCCGGCCTCCCAACCTCAGCTTCCTCACCTGTAAAATGGAGACAATCCCTGCAGCCTGCTGATGCAGAGTGGGGCTAGGAAGAGCCCCGGGGGACCAGGATACGGGGGCCCTTTGCCTTCTGAGAAGAATTCGGCACAAGGGGGATATTTCTGGAGGTGTGAGGGCACGGGCCACCAGCACAGGGGACCCACCAGGGCCCTGCCGGCTCCGTCCACCTTCCTCCCTCTCTTCTGCCGCCCGGTCTGGTCTCCGGCAAGGCCCCCTCCCCACCCCCGCGCTGGCTCCCCTCCCATCTGTTCCCCCTCCCTAAGGTACAGCGGGGTGTGACATGTCCTTGCGGAAACTCAACCCTAGGCTCCTGGTGGGGACCGAGCTCTTCCACACACAGCCCGGCCCCGCCCACCTCCCAGCCGTCTCGCTCCTTCAGCTCCTGTCTCCCCGGCTCCGCAGGGCTTCCTTCGTCACATGCACGTGGAGCCCTCCTCCCCGTGGCCTCACTAGAGGCCCCGGCTACTCACTAGAGTCCGCTGGGGCGGCCCGGGCTGCTGCCGGACCCCGTGACGTCAGAACCTCTGGGGTGGCGTCGGGCATCAGCATCTTTAAGCTCCGCAGTGGTTCCAGCGGTGGGACCAGGGCTGGGAACCAGTGCTCTGCAGATGCTCCTGGGCCCCGCCCCACTGACCTCTCAGGACACCCCCCCGCCCCCTCCACGGGCCGTTCCACGTCATCTACGTGATTGCACGGTGCATGTGAGGCCAAGGAACTGAGCCGGGTCTGCTCGTCACAGCAGCCTTGACATTTTGAAGGCGTGGACAGCAAACCCCCAAAATGTAATGAATGAAGAGGTGAGTGATCCCAGATTCCAGACACCCCCGCTGCACAGGCTTCTCAGTCACAGAAATCTGCGCCCATTCAGTGCAGGTGCCAGAACACGGGCTGAGTGGGCCCCCTCGAGCATCCTTCCTCACAGCCCGGTAGAATGGATAACACACTCATGATCCTGAATCCAAGGCATCAAGAAAGGGCTGGACAGTCACTTCTTCACTGCCAGAAACCCTCCATGGTCTGAAGGCACTGAAAGGCAGAGCTGCTCCACTCCTGACCCTCGAGGGTGTCATTTATGCTACCTCCGGTCCATTCCTGCGGACCCTGCCCTGAAGGCTCCCCACCATAGTCACAGCACCCCCTCTCCTCCAAGTCTTTGCTCAAGGGCCTCCTCCTCAGCAAGCCTCCCTCCCAGCTGCCCTATTTGAAATTACAAACACCCTGCCCTGAAACTCCAGCCTCGAGTCTATTTTTCTGTCTTTCTTGTGTTTACCGCACCAACACACTCCGTGTCTACCTGGCTGTTTGTTTTCTGGCTCCACTGGAGGTGTTTTGTCCCTGACGCCCCCCCACCCCGCACCTAGACCCGTGGCTGGCACACAGTAGGGAGCCTTTCATTATTTGCTGGATGGATGGCGTGTCCACTACCTGCCAGGTGCTTTGCCAAGGAAGCTTTGGTGAATGACACTCACAGAAGTCGTTACCTTTCACAGTCTGCGTGTGACTCAGTGATGCCTAGAGGGAAAAACTCTCATTTTCAGATG